CATAGATACTCTTAGCCAATGGGAGAACCTATAGCCTATCACTCTGGCTTTGCCTATTTTATCTGTCTGATAGAATGTGTGAAAGCTTTTTGGGCCCAGCTATGGAAGACGAGAGGACCCAACTACCCTCGATTATGACCGAAATTCCCACATCTAGTGGGGTCCTGGTAGACCCTAAACCCTAAACCCTACAAAAACCTTAAACCCTAAGCCTCAAATAGAAACCCGAAGATCAAGAGGACCCTAGAAAAGAGGATAACCCCTCCACGAAGTTTCTCTGCATGGCGGCCCAGGCCAGGGAAGGCTGTGGGCGAGTTTGCGCAGACATCCTGGTCAGAATCTTAGGGCTTTGCTGTTTTTTGGGTGGTCTTTGGTTTAAGGGCTTGTTCTGGGGTAGGTTTGTCGGGTTTAGGTTTTAAGTTGAATTAAGGCTGTAGGTTTTCTTGTTAATTGGTTAGGGCCTGTTCATGTTGGGACTTGGGCCTTTGCTGCTTCAGGGCCCGGGTGCAGGGGTGTTCGGGATCTTGTGAGATGGCTTTAGGGTTGGAACTTAGGATTTGGGTTTACAGATTATAATTTTCTTTGTGCCTTCGTGTCTGCGCGCGCTTTTAGGCTTGAAGGGGCCTGCATGAGGCCTTTGAAGCCTCAATGGCACTAGGCTTGAGGGCCAGGGGCTGATCCAGCCACCCAGGAGCAGGAATTGCATCAAAAGGCAGAGACTTCAATTGCGAGTTGCTCTATACAAGACGATTCAGAGACGAGTCTGTCTGCAGAGTTCGCTACTGTGAGCCTGGAAGAGAGAGTTTTGAACAAACCGACCAAGCCCACCAGCTGCTAGACTCGAAAATATAATCGCAAGCAGCACTCCCAGCGAAATCCCTCGCTCCGCGCCGTATAGCCCCCAAACTACAAGACCCGTCGAATGCTGTTCTTGGACATCACTCGCTCGTTCATCGCGTATAGCACAAGTGTCACGAGGGTTGGGAGTTCCAGGAACTACTTGAACGACTCCTTTCGCACCACACTTTGCTGCGAGTATCAACCGCACGAGATCGCTGCAGCCCATCCCTCAGAGTGTCATGCATTGTTCTTGGTTTCAGGATGTTTCAGGTTGTTTTTGCTATATGGGTGGTTGTCAACATTAGGGTCCCTTTTTGGGTCCTTGTTATACTACGGCACCTAATATTTAGGGTACCCAAAAAGGGACCATAATTTTGACAACTACCCATATGTCACTTGGGTACGTAGGGGTCTGTGATTCGTGTTTGGAGTTGGGTGCTTCCTAAATCCTGGTAAATCATGCCATGTACAGAATATGCATATTGCCCAAGCCCTAAACCCTAAAACTCTGGCCTCACAGTCGTTGAGCCAGGAATACCAAGAGGCCGGAGCGAATCGATGATTTGGACACTGTTGAACGACCGAAAAGCAAGCAAAAGCCTACGACCCTGAGCTGCAAAGGCAGCAGCGAACAACTACAAGGACCTGAAAGCATTGGAGCCTTATGAAACTGCACCAACCCCCTCCAACGAAGCACCCCACAACACAAAGAGCGCTTTTCTTTGCCTACATTAGTTGGGCCTGCCATACTGTAATCCGTGGAGATTTCAACTACACGCCAAAGCCCTATTCTGATAAAGTATAAAGTACACCCCCGAGCTGGTGTACTGTACCAGAAATTTCAGGTGGCTTGGTTTAAGGGGCGGGGGCGCCACCAAAACTGCGATGCTCAAGCATATTGCTAGCATTGCTACTGCCGTCATCGCTTTACTAATCTAATTGTAACTGAATGTAGTTGAACTACAATAGCTTCCAGTAATATTGTTTCACGGGTTTGCGCAGCCTTGCCACTATCCCGTGTTTGTGTCTGTATCAAGAGCATAGTTATATTTCTATTCGATTGAGCATGTACCTGCACACTGCACATATTGCTATCATGATAAACTGAAATCTCGAAGCACCCGATAAGCCCTCGAACCTACACTCTAAACTCGAAACTGTGCCAAGTGGAGGCCAGTATCTTCCTGGCCGCAGACAAGTTAGGGTTCGCGGCTCAGATTATCCTGGAAGCCCACTTCAGGGATCAGGGTTTAGTCCGTCTCTGGCCGATACAAAGCTATTATACAACTACTACAGGTATCGGAGACCTCTAGGACGTGTCCTTCCGGGGTGAACTCGGGTTCCGGCTACGAGCACAGGCTTTGCGGTTTAAAGGTTTATGTAAAGATTTCAATCATTCTGGGGTTCCAAGGATCGGAGCTCAGACTTCTCTGGCTCGGCCTGATTTGAGCTGGCTTCAGGGTTTAGGGCTTGCGGCGAGTTGGGTTCATAGCTATTTGGGCGTACGGATGTTGGGAGCTTGTGGGTTATGCCATGCGCTTTGTAGATCCTATGGTACACCCGCCGGGCATAGAGTTCAGGGCATATGTAGGCCCTTAAAGCCTTCACCGTGAGAGTCAAGCTTCCAGCACAAGTGGATCGAGGAGCAGTATGTGACTGTAAGCAACCATCCTGCAACCACGATGAAGGTTTCTGTGCAAAAGCGATGACTTCATAGTTGGGGCGGACTATATATAGGGACTACTATGGCGATCCATTCCCAAGTGACCGCAATCAAGCGGCTAACCATGCTCCGAATCTGTTGACTTGAAGATGCCACAGAGGCAGATCAAATTTGCCAACCGAAGAACCTAACCCTGCATTTATGCGGCTATTTCTATGCATCGCTACACCCACACCTAGACCCCCCAACTACCCTCCACCATACCCCTATTACGGACCATAAGGGCCCTATTAAAGAGGGGCCCTTGAGGGGCCCTGGCCTACCGCCACCAACTTCAGGATAGAGCTTCCAAGCCAGCCTCCCTGGTGGAAAGACTGCCACACGCGATACGAGGACCGTCAAGTGCTGGGCTTTAAGGTCAAGGGCTTGCCCCTACATAGACCCTAAAGAACCTACATTTTAAAGGACCTGTATAAAACAAATCATAATAGGGGACCCTAAAGGTGGGATAAGCCCGAAACAGCATTTTCAGTTTTCTCTGATTATCGGAGAGATGCGTGTGAACTTCGGCGAAGCACCTTCACGTTATGATGCGGCACTATATGGTGTTGACCTGATTATGGACAGAAATATGAACAAAGCAGGAGATTTGTGCAAGGCACGCCGACGCTGACACATGCATGTAAAACTCCGTCATTTGCCAGGCAAGCCACAGTCGCAACAAAAATTGCCAGCTGCGGACGAGCCTATAATCTACATTGTAGTTCCTTTTCGGACTAAACCAGTTTTATGGTTAATGAAGATCCGCCAACGTGAACTAACGAAAAAGAAACTACAGTGGACACTTCACTATAGGTAGATCCCGTACGACACCATAAAAGTATTCAAAACGAAGCCATAGCGGGGACCAGATTGTGCAGCAACATCTGTGGACACCTTCTCAACTTTTCGTTAAGACATCTATCTGCTAAGTGCCGAAAAACCTATTGGTTCATGTACCTGTTATAGTATATACTTCTTGGCCGTTAAGTACCTATATAGGGACTACTGGAATGCCAAAGTATATACTATTTAAGCACATGGACCCTTAGGGAAAGAGACCTTCAGGATATGGCGCACATCGCGACCACCATTACCGATCTGTACAGGTCAGGAACTTGGACCCTCGAATCCAGTGTTTCTATGATTACTATAGGGGCCTGAATGATTACGTACCTATTTTGGTGTGGATGGTTCCTTAATATGAATCTACTCTCATGGGCGCCCAAACCTGTATGTATGTATGTATGTATGTATGTATGCATGCATGTATGTATGTATGTATGTATGTGTGTATATATATACATATATATATATATATACACATACATTAGAATCCTGTAAGAAGAATCTAGTGTAACCAAGAACAGGTTGGCTCCCAGGGAGTGTGTGGAGTTTAGGCAAGCGGAGGTTGGATGGTAGTAGTTTAGTAGGCGCGCGGAGTTACTAGCAACGTTAAGGCTCTATGGTGGTGGTATAGGACTGTTTAAGCTTTAAGCGGGTGATAGAGTTGTACGATGTTGTGCAGCGGACCAAAGAACCAGAATTCTTCGTGTTTTAGTGTCTGATAGAGTATATGTACGCAGGAGCTGTACTGATTCATGCTGTCATATGCTGGCTTTTACAAGCTTTTCATGGGGTGTAGGATAGGATTGAGGGCTGAAGGTGTAAGGATTCGGGGTGTAGGGCCAGGGCCTGCCGGGTTTTCTACTGCTCCTGCGGACATCTGCCACTTGAAAGTCCAGGTCCCGAACCTCACACCCAAAACGAGAAAAGGCCTAAACTGTACATAGCCTTATGCCGGAAGCCCAGAACTCTAGGCCCAGTGACCCCAAAACCTCCGAAAGCTAAGGCATCAATAGACCCGGACTCTGAACCCCGCAGCCAGCCCGCCCAGACCTAAAGCCCTCATTCTCCGACGCCCAAGTCCCCGGCAACAAACCGCTGGTGGTCTGAACGTACACCGCATCCTAACAAAGCACCATAAAATACCAGAGCCCTACCCTAACCCCAAGCACCGAACGAGCTTGGGGTTACGTTGCAGGCGCGACTCATTATCATGACCATGACGGTTATCGTCTACTTTTATATTCTGGTTTTTGTTGTATTCAAAATTTGCAATATTGCAGACATGACTGGTATTAGTGTCATTATCGCTGTTAACACATCCCCAGAGGGTCCACATATAATTACTAACATTATGGAATAAGGTACTCAAGACCATTTTAGAGATGGTCTTTTGGGACCTACTTCCACAATGTTAGTATAGCATAGTGGCCTCAATAATTACCTATACTATTTTGGGTGTTCCTTGTTGTAAGTACACTTTGATTGGCCCCGAAACCCTATTCTAGTTACTAAGGCCCCTATATCATAGTACCCTTATAGATTCCTTTATAGTAACCCTTATAAGACCCCCTTTAAAGGAACCCTATTCTAATTATAAAGGCCCCTATATTACTGCATTCTTTGGACCCTTTGGGATCCCGATATATATATATATATATATAGATAGATAGATAGATAGATAGATCCCTAATCATAGATCCCTTATAGTAACCCTTATAGATCCCTTTAAAGGAACCCTATGATATACCCCGAACCCTAAACCCTAAACTCTAAAACCCAAACCGTATGGAAGGATCGCGTTTTTGAGGCAGCCAGCTCCTCGGCTCCTTTTCGTGCATGGGAAGATGCAGGCGCCTCGGGGCGGCGCCAACTTTGGGCACCTGTCCGACAAGCCTATAGAGTTTAGGGTTTAGGGTTTGGGGTATTAGAGTTTAATTGGGATCTGAGGTTTGGGGATTAGGCTTTAATTGGGATTTAGTGTTTGGGGGATTAGGGGTTTGGGGGATTAGGGGTTTGGGGGATTCGAGTTTAGGGTTTAGGGTTTGGGGGATTAGGGGTTTGGGGGCTTCGGGTTTAGGGGATTAAGGTTCAGGGGATAAGGGTTTGGGGGGTTGGGGGGTTGGGGTTTGGGGGGTGAGGGATTTGGGGATCAGGGTTCAGGGGATAAGGGTTTGCGGGATTAGTGGTTTGGGGGGCCTAGGGTTTAGGGGACTAGGGTTCAGGGGTTTAGCGTTTTGCGGTTGCCGACAGAGTCACACAGAACGAAACGCAAATATGGACCCAAGAATAGCAGTCGGGATAAGCCCTAAAACATCATTAGACCCCCGAACCCCGAATCCCCAACTTCTGCTTTGCCAGGACCCCACGGATGTCCCTACCTTTATGCGCTCACCCTCTGACGATGGGCCTGCGTCTCAGCATGGGAATGAGGAGTTTGGAACTCTGTACCCTGCGGAAAACAAAAACACTACCGATCCAATTGTTTAGCCGGTTTAGCCCCCGCCAACGGCCCCATTGCGCAGGGCTGCAGTCAGGTCCGGCGGTTTCAGTTGCTTGAATTTCTGAAGGCTCTTTAGATAATCCTTAAACTACTTGTATGTGTAGCCAACAATCATTCCAGTGTATCCTACACACCCTTCACCTTATACCGTCAAGCCGCTTCAAGCCCTAAACTCCAAAAGCCCTAAACCCTAAACCCTGAACCGAACTCTGAACCTAGGAGCCGACAGAACCTTAAACCCCCAAACACCCGAAAACCCCGTAAACTCTACAATCTCAAAGCCCCAAAAACTCGGAATCAGCAGGTCTGGCAGTGGCCCAGCCCTCAGCAGCCTTGCCCGTAGAAGAGGGCTTTCGGCGTTCAGCGGTTCAGGGTTTTGCTTCAGGGTTTAGGGTTACAGGCTTCGGGCTTTGCTTGGCTCCCATGTTAATTTTGGGAGAGCCGATGGAGTGGGACGTGCAGCGACCAAGCCTCTACGAACGACCTCCTGAAACAGAACCGCGCACACGAGACCTGTTTGCGTTCCAGGAAGGTTTAGGCAATAGTGTGTTCGGTTTCGGGAGGCCTTTTTAACTTTCAATCCCCAATCAGTCTCGCGGTCTTCCTAAGATTCCCGCACTGCTCATACTCATGTAGGTCATGGGCCCTCAGAGGCTCATCAACAGTATTACTGCGGAAAAGAGTGTCCCGGTATCTTCGTTCTTTGATCACTGCTTGAGCAGCAGAATCCTTGCCGGGAAACCTATTGAAAGCCCGTTGCAATACTTTTGCCCCGCCTACACTCTCGCACCCCTAAACCCCAACCTCTAAACCCTACTCGCTATATTCTACCCGAACCCCCAATAGCCGACCTTTTTAAAAATCTGTTTGCATTCTGACTAGGGATCCCTAAATGGTTGGTTTCAAAGGCTCCAGCTAACCCTAAACCCAAAGCCCTTAAACCCTCGACCTCAAACCCCCTAAACCCCAAACCCCCAAAACCCTAAACCCCTAAACCCTACACCCCTAAACCCTAAACCCCTAAACTAACCCTAAACCCCTAAGCCCTTAAGTCGTTTTAACCCTAATCCCATAAGAGCCTTCGCCGAAATGCCCTTGAGGTCTTCGCGCCTCCGCAGCTTCCTCAGCTGTTGCTTGCACCGGGAGGTGTAGGGTTTAGGAATCTCAAAACCCCTAAACCTTCTATACCTTTAAACCCTTTGGCCTTTAAGCGCTAAACTCGAAGCGGCTATTTTAACATGAGGAAACACGAAGTGCGTGCCGGCACCAGAAATAAAGAGACTTGTAAGCAAAGCAAGCAGGAAAGAACAAAGCGCTAAAGACTGAAAGATCGAACGAGAGAAGCACAGCAAACAGAACCACCAGCACAGCCAAGCGAAACGAAAGCGCGCAAAAGCCTACACCCCCAACCCTAAACCCCCGAAGCCCTAGACCCTATACTGCAAACACGAAAATCCTAAACCCTAAATTTAAACCCAATTTCTGGCAGAAGGGGTGGTGGTGGGGGGGGGGGGGGGGGGGTTTGGTAGCCTTATTATAGATCCCTTATAGGAGCCCTGAAAGACCCCCTTTAAAGGAAACCCGAGGCTCCCACACGCGCGGGTGGGGGGGGGGGGGGGGGGGGGGGGGCGACGGTGCCAAGGCCAACGAAGGCCGACAGTCAGACCCCGAGGCTCACCTCTCTTAAGGGGGGTTTAGGGTTTTCAGTTTTGTAGTATTTATATAGGGCTCTTAGGGTTTAGGGGCTTAGAGTTTAAGGTTTAGGGTTTTTAAGGTTTATGTAGGGGTTTAGAGTTTTGTAGGATTTAGGGTTTTTAAGGTTTAGGGGTTTAGAGTTTTGTAGTGTTTACATAGGGTTGAAGGAATTTAGAAGTTTGATAGGATTTAGGGCTTCGGGTGATTTGGAACTTTTGTTTTACGATGATGTGCAAGAGTTGTTTCCGGTTTTGGGGGGTTGGGCCCTTCTCGATATTTCAGCAGGGTTTGCATGCGATGTTTAAGGAGGTTTCACAATAGCGTTGTGTTATTCTTGCGGGCCTGCTTACGGGTTCGGGTTCTAGAAGGATTTTATGGGGTCTTTCAAGGTTTTTATCAGGTTGATAAGGATATACTAGTTATGCAGGGTCTTCGAGGGTCTAAACTTCTTTTTTTGTGGCTTTTTTCAGACGGTTCCTGAGGGCTCAGCAATAGTATTCCTAAGGGTGCGTAATATGACCATGGTCTAGACGCCGGCTGCGACTTCATCTGGTAGTTGTTCCGAAATTCCCATACTAGATGGTTACCTTAGGCCCTGAAGAGAAACTTGGAGTTTGAACAGAACGACACCTGAGGTTATCTAGACAGGTGGCACCATCTACATACTTTAGAAGCTGTCCCCCACCCTGTAATAGTGACTATAAGGATTATTTTAGGGCCCAATTATATTCCGATTATACCACTATTACCGGGTGGGGGCCCCTTCTAATACCTACAAGTACTACTCAGGGCCATTCTACGAACTACCCAGGACGTGGAGGCGCAGATGATTTGCTTCCGAGCCGGGCCTCATTTCTCCTGCACTTGAATACCCAGACTCGGTCTTCGAACATAGGCAGCTATATGGGTAGCTGTCAAAATTAGGGTGCCTTTTGTGCCCTTGTTATAGTACGGCACCTAATATTTAGGGTACCCAAAAAGGAACCGTAATTTTGACAACCACCCATACAAACCGTCGGTTCAAGGAATCTTAAAATTTCGGAGGCACAGTCCACCTGTTCATCTCAATGCTAGATTGCCTCCTAAACCCTAAACCCTAAACCCAAAACCCTAAACCCTAAAACGCCCTAAACCCCAAACCCCGGCATCCGCTTCGAACCTTGGGGTCACGAAAACCCCGCGCCCTCCCAAAGTCTTATATGGGTCCCTTTTTGGGGTTTAGGGTTTTGGGTTTAGGGGTTTAGGGTTTAGGGTTTTATATGGGTCCCTTTTGGGCGTCCCTATCGTAATACGGCAGCTATTGTTTAGGGTACCCAAAAAGGGACCTTAATTTTGACAACTACCCATATGAAGAAGCCGAAAGATCTAGAAGCGATTCGGTTCATGGTTTTCGCTTTCCAAACCAGCTCACTGTTGAGCTGATTCCATACCAACGGGTATGCGTCTGGGTACGTCGGTAGATTTATCTCGCTTTACCGGGCGGTCCTAAAGGATAGCTTTGGTCGTTGACAGCCTTAGAACTGTATGTACATCAAGCCCTACACTTGCCGTAAGCATTCAGTCCGATAAAAATAACTGAATTCCAGCACTTTGTTCCTGCAACCCAGCCCTAAGGCCCAAAGTACCTCGAAACTTCGACCCGGCGCTTTCTTCGGATCCCTTTCTCTTGCAGGATCGGGCATCACCGGAGCCCCAGGTGGTGGAGAGCTTGGGTGGTACAGTATATACAATGAGAGCAAAACCACTGAATAGGGTTTGGGGGTAGACTGTATTAGTACTATACGCACGTAATGGACTACCCTGAAAATGAGCATGTTCTGTGTTTTTTGGTGTGCTTCTATGCTGTAGGAGCCAGGGTAGCATTCAACAAGTGGCACTTGTTTATGCTTTAGGGCGTTGGAGGGCTTCGGGCTTTGGGCTTTACGCATCCGTTGAATACCCCCCCTCCCCAAGAACAAGGTGTCGGAGAGGGGGACGGGGCCACCCATAGGCCCCATACAGTAGTAATTCCGTTTGGGGTTCAGATTTAGAATCCTATAATGTAGAAATCCCAAAAAGGGCTTCATACTTAGAATCGTATATAAGGTAATCCCTAAAAGGAACTACTCTGGGGCCTATGACGATGCTGGGAGCCGTGGAGTCAACTCTGACAGGCAGCGCGAGAAATCCGAGTTTTTCGATGCGATGGCGTGCACGAACGGGCGCAGCCGGGAGAGGAGGGGCGTCAACAGCATCCTCGGAACCGATGCCGTAGAAGACGAGGCGGCGCCGACTTTCGAGAAGATTCGAGGAGAGAGGTCCTGAAAACCAAGGCTGCAGATGAGCCGACCCAAGATGCAGCGCCACATGCACATCCTTTAGTGAAGCCATGCCCTACTTCACACTTGTTCTTGACCGTCTCATTAGCCATTCGTACGGAACCCCGAAGGTCTGAAAGTTGTTCCACTCTCTTTTCTGAGGGAGTATGGGCCAACTTTCGTTTTTTAGGTAGTAGGGCCAGTATGGCGATAGGAGTTTCAGAGCCCTAAATTTCGGGTTTAAGGTTTAGGGTTTACCCTATAAGGCCCCAAAGTAGTTCCTTTTGGGGGTTCATATATAGAATCTTATTAGGTAATCCCCAAAAGGAACTACTTTGGGGCCGAAGAGTTTTAGGGGACCTTCTGCACAAGGCGAGAGGCTCGACTGAAATCGCCCTGAACACTACAAGCTGCACCCTGAATTCGAAAACTCTACTTAAAGGCTCATGGGACTTAGTAACTGGGGGTTCCTCAAAGGGATCTATCTATAAGGTTTAGGGTTTAGGGTCTACTTAAAGGCTCATGGGACTTAGTAACTAGGGTTATAAATAAGGTAACTGTACTTATAATTACTTACAACCCCAGTTAGGGGACTTATAACTTATAACATTACTAAGTCCCACGATCCGAAAACTCTAGGGCGTGTGGGACTTGGCTTGTCATGGCTGTAGGAATTGAATTACCATGAGCCGTTAAATCCTTCCGTAGACCGTAGTACATCCACACAAACACATACTTACATTTACATATAGGTAGATAAGTTCATGAGAACATACATACATACATACCTACATACTCTCAGAATGTTTACCTTATGAAACCCTGATCAAACTCTCATGGCTCTTGAGCCGTTGATTTCTTAAAAAAGACCCTCCCATGTGAACTTCGACCGCATGCATAGAGGCTCGGAGGAGTCGCAGCCGGAGCCCCGCAGCTCCAAAGCGGGCCTCTTCCTCGGGATGTGCAGAGGGTTTTTTCTTTTTTTGTGAAACTGAAGTTTAAAGGACTTCTAGGGTTGAATCTAGGGTTTCATAATGGGTGTTTTTTAAAATGGGGTTTCATAAGTTAGGGCACAGGGGTTCTGCAAGGGTTTGGAGGGTTTTGCGCAATTGTAGGGCGATGTAGGGTAGGTCCACAGGGTTTCAGTGAAACTCAGGGGGTAGACCTTAAACTGCTTGAAGTCTCTTGAGTTTACAGAATCTCGGTGTAGGCAAAACTGACAGCCTTGGCCTGTTCGGACTAGCGAACTCAGCAAAGAGGGCTTTGATTGGGGAGTCCTCGCTCGGGTTAAAGTCTTCGGAAACTGCCATATGGGCTTAGATAGTGCACGGGGGAGCTTTAAACTATTTTGCCTTATATATGAGCTCTGTCTTAGAAAGTTTGAACTTTTTGGGCCCGGTTGTTGAAGAAGAGAGAGGGCTGTTGGTGGATCGCATGTGATGTGACTGTGGGAGATGATACAGTCACGTGTGACGCCCCAACCCCCAAACTGCGTTGCCCAATAAACCCGGAAGCCTACACCCCGGCGCTGCAACGTTCGAAGACGACCTCTTTGTAGTTTGATTTCCACCTTTTGAAACCCAATGGCTCCATGTACCTTTATAGTAGATACTTAAGCCTCAAAGAGGTCCCTATATAGGTACTTTGAGGCCTAAGTAAATACTATGTGGGCACATGGAGCCTTAGGGAATTAGTTCGACGCAACTCCGCTGAATCGACGAACCCAAACTCAACGCACTCCAAATCACGATCCTGAACCCAGTGCCCGAAAGGCCCAACCCTACAAAAAGCTTCCTGAACCCCAACAACCTAAAGCCCTAGACCCTGCAAGCCCTCACGCCCTGGACCCTAAACAGCCTCAAGCCCTGGAAAAAGCCACCACGTAATATAGGGGCCTAAATAATTACCTATACTATTTTGGGGGTTCCTTGTTATAACTATAATTTAATGGGCTCCAAAACCCTACTCTAATTATTAAAGCCCCTATGTTAGTACAGTCGACTGAGGTTGTGCGGCTCACTCTTGGGGGGCCTCGCAGCACCCAGCGCCCGCGGTGAGAAAGAGATGAAAGTCGTTACTTCAGATTGTCTGCGACGGTGGCCTGGAATTCTTAAATCCAGCCATACGCACAACTTGCGCCTATACCGACTAGTATAAACAAAGTATAGTACTTTAGAGGCCATGCGGCCGTTTGCACCCTAAGCTTTCTGACTTTCAACCTGACAACCCTAGAACTGCGCCAAACCCTAAACTAGGCCCTAAACCTACAGGCCATGACCCCCACCAGCCCTGGGTGTTCGGGTTTAGGGGTTGGGGCTTTCCCAAAGCCTGGACCCAAAGGCATAAACTGAAGTCCCAAACCCTGCAGCCCCAACAACTGGACCAACAGAGGACCCCCTCGGCGAGCAGCGCTGCCGCCAATGCCTTGGAGTGTTGCCCAGCGGGCACACATCACGCCCGAAGAGCCCGGAACCTCAGAAAGCCAAGAGAAGGCTTCCGAAGATGTTGTGGTGGTGACCCTTCTAGAGATTATACCTAGAGTCTTCACTGGAGTTCCTTTTTTTGGTTAGCCAGTTTTATGGTTAGGATCCTCTAATGGAGATTTTGGTTAACCAAAAAAATAACTACAATGGAGACCATAGGTACTACAACATCTCCCAAGAACCTGGTCCGATCAGTTACTCGCCCCTTAACCCTAAGTGGTTTAGGGTTTAGATTTGGTCGGGTTTCAGCGTGTATGCGTTTACATTAGAAGCCCGAGACCGAGCCTGCAAACCGTTAGACCCTACGCCGGAACATGCAAAACAGGAACCCTGAATAGGCGATGTTGTTGTTTCTCTACGGCCTGAAGCCGTTTCTGCCAACACCACCTTAAATTTGAAGTCCTCATGCCAGAACAGGAGAGTGTCAAATTCTTGCCTGACCGTATCATGCCTATAGTCTCCACTGTAGTTCCTGTTTTGGTTTAACCAAATATCGAATTACGATCCTATAATGTAACCTCAAGAAGGAACTACAATGCAGACTGCACGTATGCCGCCTTGCCTTATTTGGCATTAGTTTGGGGGTCCTTACAATAAGGACCGGACCCTACTATTTAGGGTATCATATTACAGCAAGCCCTATAAAGATGGAAACCGGATTAAGGCCAAATAGTGCTGGGATTCCCTATATGTGACTCTTCAGGATTGAGGCTACTGGGTTTCCAACTCTTAAGCTTCTACTGTAGGGTCCCCTATCTTCGGAAGTTCCCACATCACATGGGTGGTTGTCAAAATTATGGTCCCTTTGCGGGTACCTTAAATATTAGGTGCCGTACTATATTAGGGGGACCCCAAAAAGGGACCCTAATTTTGACGACCACCCATAAGGCTTAGGGCTGCAGTGGGGTCCCCTATTTTCCGAAACTCCCATATGGCGCCTAAACCCTAACCCCTAAACCCCTAAACCCTAAACCCCTAAACCCCTAAACCCTAAACCCCTAAACCATAAACCCTATGGCGCCTGCCCAGGAGCGCACCCCGAAGTCAACAACTTCCTTGCCCGCGACTTTGCTTGCCAGGCCAGTCTTCGTGTTCTTTGGGTTTAGGGTTTTATAGGGTTTATATAGGGTTTATATAGGGTTTTAGGGTTTTATAGGGTTTATATAGGGTTTATAGGGTTTAGGGTTTTAGGGTTTAGGGTTTAGGGTTTGAGGGTTTTAGGGTTTCAGGGCTTTAGGGTTTTAGGGTTTTTAGGGTTTGGGGTTTGGGGTTTAGGGTTTTAGGGTTTTGGGGTTTTTAGGGTTTGGGTTTGGGGTTCAGGGTTTTAGGGTTTGGGGTTTTAGGGACCCCAAAAGCACATAAGCATAAGCATTTTATAGGGATATCACTACCTTATTGGGCTTCACTATAAGGGGGTTTATGTGGGAGATCCCTCTCTTAATTGTTGCTTATGTGCTTTCAGCTGAGATCCCCAATTCCTAACCTTTAGACGTTTTGGGTTTGTAGGGTTCGTGGATTTTAGTAGGAATCGGAAAGTTTAACCTTTTGTTTTTGTGGCTTGTTGGGGTAGTAAGTTAGTCAGAAGCGGAGTTTGTTTACGGTCATAGTCCAGCATAGGACGATTTGGCTTTTCTTTGGAGGGCTTCGGAGGGCCAATACAGGGACACTCTTGTCGATCACCCATTAATATGGCTCAGGCTGAGAATGTGTTGTGCCTTTGGATGCAAGCTCGTTGTTTCAAGATTTCAGATGGAGGAGTTTTCCGATAGATGGGTTCATTCTGTGAGGTCAAAGAAGCTGGTGCAAAGCAGATGCTGGTTTGAGGAGCTTCGCTGTCAGCATCGTTGTTCTCAGTTCGTCCTATGTGCAATATTCCAGGAGTGCTTTCTGGCAGCGAAGGCAAGCTGCTCTCATACGTCTTCCCAAAACTCATCAGTTTACATACAGTAACCTGTAGCCCTAACCCCGAGAATTTTGCACAGCCACATCATATCTTGGCTTTATCGCAAGGTCTGCGGCGGCCTGGGACACTGGTGGCGAAACTGCCGTTGTCTCAGGGGGCCCTTGGAGTTCGGGGGCTACGGGGTTCGGGATTTTGCGCTGTGAGGGGATAGGGTTTGGTCTTGGTTTCAGGATGGACATTGTCCCGATAATTGTTTAGTTTGGGGCCTTTGAGGCTTCTAGGCTCAGGGGTACCTTGAACTTCAGGCCTTATAATTTACGTGAACTTCAGGAGTGTGCACATGTTTCAGAGTTCAGGCCCTCCGAATAGCCTGCTTCCATCAGCATGAAACCTTGCCCTATCTCTGAGCAAGCCGGAAACCGAAGCCCTATAATGTACGGATTTATGTATTCTTCTGTGACAGTACCCTAGTAAATAGCTGTGAGAACAACGCAGGGTATGCCCGAAACCGGCGCCTAAACCGTTCACACAGCAAACTCGATCAGAAGCTCGAAAAAACATGCTAAAGCCCTCTCTGAACCGAAACAAAGCCCGAAGCCATGAACCTTCACCTGAAAACTCTGGAGTTTAGGGTTTAAACTAAACCCTAAATGTTCACGGTTTAGGGTGCCGGGTTTCGGGTTAAGGAACAGCAGTCCGTTACCTGAACAGCCTGAGGCCCCCACAGCGGACTAGAGACCGTGGATATGGATCAGGCTGGTTCCTGCCTGCCGAGCCTTCGGTGTGGCGTTTACTCGAGGGGCCTTGGTGAAGAGAATAGGGCTTTGGGATCCTGAAAAGAACAAATATATTAGGGCACGCAAATCTGCAGGACTCCACCGCTGGATTTTGGGCCGAACTTTAGCCCGTTTTGCCAAACCTGGCACTGCCTCCTCCTCGGCCAGCTCGGGCGTCTTCGTGCCCGCTACCTCGCCGAAAGCTTTCGGATCGCCACGCACTCGGCTACAAACAGGCTACCCTTGACAAAGGCTCGACTATGACTGGACATGTTAGAAGCGACTACCACTAGCAACCCTGATTGCGGTTGTGAGGCAGTGCATATAGTTCTGAAGAGGAGCCTTGAATTCGTAGGAATTACATTGGGGCAAGACGGTGGAACTCTAAACCCCCAAAGACGTGCTGGTTAGTGTTTGAGAGTTTGGGTCACACCCCAAATCCCTACATGCTGCAGCAACAAGTTTTTGCGTTACCCGGCAGGGCATAGACCCTAAACTCCCTCAGCTGAAGCCCGGGCACCCCTGAACACTAAACTCTCACCATAATCTCTAAAGCCCTTGATCCGAAACCCTAAACTTTCCTCTCCACACGCTGGGCCCCCAAAGGACCTCAAGGCAGTCTAATTCTAAAAAACAACGGTAACTAAAGAAGCCACACCCTTCCCCGACAATTCGCAGCATCACTATGCTTGAGAAGTTCGTTCAACTTGTACCATGTTCACTGCTTACAATCACCATACCAGTGCCGATGCTTCCACGGTTGCTATGAAGATCACTTCTACTACTATTTACTGTCCTGATGCTGCTGGCAGTTTTCGCATTTTTACTAAACCCTAAACCCTAAACCCCTAAACCCCAAAACCCCTAACCCCTAAACTCTAAACCCTAGACCCCAAAACCCCTAAACCCTGAAACCCTAAACCCCTAAACCCTAAACCCCTAAACCCCTAAACTCCTAAACCCTAAACCCCTAAATCCCACCTCAGGCCGGTCAGGCGGAGTCGGAGCAGCGGCCATGGATGAGTGGCAGCCTGCGACCGACGCAGAGGAAGACCAAGGAGCAAAAAATTTACCTTTGGTTAGTAGGGAATGGAAGAATGGTAGTAATGGGTTCCTCTAAAGGGATCCTTTAAGGGATCTATAGGGTTTAGGGTTTAGGAGTTCAGGGGTTTAGGGGTTTAGGGTTTAGGGAATGGAAGAATGGTAGTAATAGTAGGTATAAGTGTACCCCATTCCTCCAATCCCTACTAACAAAAGGTAAGAAAATGGCCAGCGCTGTTGTTCGGAAATTTCGGGATTTAGAGTTCAGGGTGTGCAGCTGCGGTATAGTCAGCGCGCTCGGAGTTAGTTCAAGAATACACTTCCTTTCTCGATTTGATTTCGGTGCTATGCTAACTCAAAAACGAGTATGTTTGGGTATCCCGGTATCCCGGTGGGAAGATCATGAAAGTTTGCTCTGCACCCACACGACACCCTGCGCGCCAACCCCCAACTCTTTCCGCCCATGCCGGCCCAGCTATCTCGCAGGCTGCACACAGAGGATCGGCCTTGACACTAAACTTGAAGCCCATACCACGAAGAGGCCCAAACAGGATCTGAACACCGAAGCCCAAAGACAAAAAACCCTAAACCTGAACCCCAAAGCCCTGATACCCAAGCCCCAAACACAGGAACCCCTGATACCCGAACTCCAAGGCCTCAACCTATGATACCTAGCCTCGAGCCCCTCAGCCCCTGATACCCAGACCCTGAGTCCCGAACTGTAAATCGCTGCTGACCCAGCCATGGAGAGGGTCGGCAACTGAGAGATTGGCTTAGGGAGTTTGGAGTGGTTTAAGGTGCACGCTTTATTGGTTGGGGTCGAGGAGCTATGTTTCACAGACCTTGCAAAGAGG